GCATCTCGCTCATTACATTCGCCATTGTCCCTCTAATTGTCTGCACCTGCGCATTGGGTGCAGAAGCCTGTTAAAGGGCAGTATTTTCAGAGCCCCAAGACCATAAATTTTTGAGACGCTGATTGGCCATTAAATTATTAAATTCACCTAGCAATAGTACATGATTGGCAGATTCTCTGCAAATGTGGCGCAGCCTGATCACAGCCCCAAGACGGTGGAGTCTGTCTGTGGAAATCCACAAATGAATGACAGTAGGTAGGGAAATGTAGTTTATATAATTTGTTTTGCTTATAGGTACACACTCTAGAGAGTAAAACTGACATTTATAAGTTAATTTCTAAAAATATATTTTACGTTTCTCTCTTCTTATCAGGGAGGGCGGTGCCCCAGCGCCCCCTATTGGCCGGCCGCCAATGGTTAGACATTTTTCCATTCCTTACCTAAAATAGCTTCAAAACATTTTCATGTGCTTTCTAAAATAAAGGCAGTCTTACAAAGACAAATGGTTTATGGGGCATATGTGTAAATAAGCTTGTAAATAAACCACTCCTTAGCAAAAAGTAGTATACTTGACGTAAATGCTATTAAGAACACTTAAGTATAAGTTTAGAAAGTATACCGAACAATGTAATTTTAGTGTACTTGAAGTACTACTAAAGTAATACTTCTTCGAACTAAATTGGGACATTTTTAAGTTTATTAAAGTATATTTAAAGTATACTAGTAAACAATAAAGTGAAAAATAGTATAGCCAAGTACTTTTGACTATACAATTTTAAAGTATATGAAATATAGTTTAGAATAAGTAAACTCTAAGTTTACTTATTCTCAGCACGGCCTGATTTTAAGTATGAAATTTGTGCACTTTTTATACTTGAATAAACTGCTTTTTGCTAAGGGATAATTTACATACACATCTGACAAAGGTGATCTCGCTATGATTAAATATCGAACTCAAAACCTTTTTAACTTTTTAGCGTGGGTTGACTTTAACGTCAAACTGCAAAATTATTGTCTTATTTATGTAACTTAATTTTTATGTAACCTTCAATTCTAGGGTTGAATGAGCCCACCTCTCTGGAAAAGGCAAGGGAACTAAATCAGAAACAAATTTGCACCTTCGAGAATGTCCTAAAAGCTAAAAACAAGAATAAAAAAACATTTCTAAGAAAACAAGTCTTCTACACCCACAAACTTTGCATTGTCTAAGGCGAAAAACATTAGCAAAATATGTTCTTACTTATGTGCTACAATTACTATGAAGACATTATAAAATAACAATCTGTCTTTTTTACTGGCAAAAGTGACTGCATGATGCATGAAGGGATTAGGTCTACTTTAAATTTTGATTTAAAAGGTGACTACTAAAAAAATGAAAACATCTAATTTTCAGTACAGCTTATAAATAGAACGAGTTGTCAGTACAGATAATTCTTCAGTAGGTACTTAAAGAGGATTTGTAGGTGGGTAAATCCAACAAGTTACATCTTAACTAACCTTCAAATATTGCAGCAGGTTAATTAATACCTTTAACTGATTTTTGCAAACAAAGAACAAACATTGAGAAATCCCAAGTGTGTTTTATGCACTCAACAAGACAATTAAAGGACTTCTTCAATGGGAAGTGCACACTATTAGAGCTACATCACTGACAGCTTGGTTTAACTTAAGATTTGAGAATCATCATTGAAATATGAAACACAGAAAATCTAAGCACTGATAACTAACTTTTCCTCCCCCCTAACTTGGGTTACTGTCTGTGGCTCAGTTGAAAATGTTGAAAGTTTGGGGCTATTCAACCATAAGAGAGTCATAAGAGATTATAATGGTGTGTTCATGTTTTGCTTATATTATTTATACCTTTATAAATGTCACAGTCCTGTGTTAAATGTTTGATTTAGGAAGCATAATAATTTAGGGGGGTTTATACATTCAAAATAGATGTGTACCAAAAACAAATCAAGTATCAAGTATTATTAAGTTACCACACCTGTATATTTACAGTATATGAATGCAAACAACAAAAAAACATCATAAAACCACTTTATAAAAACAAAACATAATTTAATTTGCAGGTTTATTTTTCTACATGAATCTTTAAAGCACTTGCTAAAAAGTGCTTTAAATCAGTCCTACCAGTCTTTATCCATGCTGGTTGAGATCTTGACATTTAAAAAAGGATGAAGGAAAGCAAAATAAAGTGTTAGCCTCGCTGCATGCACTAAGCCAAGCCTTGTAGCTAAACCTACTGATTTAATTTTCAGGTTTTAAATAGTTTTATTTAGCATCTCTACATTTTTTATTTTTCAATGACTTAAAATAGCTTTTGAAAAACGGATTCCCCCCCCCCAAAGTACCTTATTTCTAAAAAAAAAAAAAAAAAAAAAAAGTGTAAACTGTTCAACTAAAAGTTGAATCATTATATTTTCTAATGCTAAATTTATTAATATTTTTTCATATTTGGATCAAGTGAATAATTTTTTTCAAATCCGATGTAGAGAACTTACTTTTATTTGATGAATGGAAAATAGCAAGAAGATACACCATTTCCCTTATCCTAATCATCAATTTATGTAATTTGTTTATTGTTGATTCCAATTAATCTTAAAATTGAATAACTGTAAACTGATGGCATTAGTCTAAACCATGGAAGTCATGTACAAATTATTTACAATTGCTATTATCATAAAAAAAAAAAAAACTTTACAACCTAACAAAGAGTCAACAGATCAAGTAACAGTTGGCTGTTATCACACAGCACAGATAGAGGAAGGCAGGTGTCTGGTGGGGACACAGCGGGTTAAAGATTAAAACCTGAGCCTATTTACACAGACGTTCACATTTATGACACAATCCTGCCTGAACTCATCTAAAATCCAATGCAACAAATGGAGTTGGAGACTTTACTATAGGCAGAATATTCTAAATCAAATGGTTCATCAATAATATATATTACGGTATATGATTTTGATCAGAAAGAATCTTATTTTAGTGATCTACAAATAGAACGACTGAGCTGATTGTTTTTAATAAATGTAAAAACGGCCTGCCATTGCCAACTTCATATAAACTTACGCATTAACCGGAACAATAATCTTCTCCTTATTTTATTGTTTTGCATTTCTGCATTAAATCTCTATTTCCAGTGGGGTGAAATAGACACCTCTTGTTGCCTGTTGTCATAGTAACCTGTCGAATCGGTGATCTACTAATAATGGCTTTTCATAATTGTTGCACACGGGTTTAATTGAATGGACCTAGATAAAATTGATTGAACTAATTGATAGCAGCCGTTGCAAACCGAACACTCAGAGTTCACCCCTGGGGAAAAAGAGAGTGGATAAGGGTTTAAATTTTATTTTATTTAATAAATTTTCCACTTTTACAAACTAAACTTTTTCAATTGAAGCAACAGTTTTATAACATTTTTTTTATAATCTGGTTTTATAATCTGTTATAAAAAAAACATTTAAGCTTCAGGCGTGAGTCTTTATTGTCACTAACCAAAATAAAAGTGTGTTGACATTGGCTCTATATACATATACACAGTAAAATAGAGATATAAATACGAGCACATTTATAAGAACAGAAAACAAGTATCTTCAAACACCTAAAAAATGTGAAAACGGATGTACATAAAATTTTGCATACAGTATATACAAATAGTTATATCTTAAAATAAATACATAATTACTGAAATAAAAACAATTTCTAAAGTAAAAAAAACAAATGACAAAATTACCTAAAATATGTTTTTTAGTATACTTTTTTTTCTATTAGGGGACATTTATTTTACTCATTGCATATTAATCAGCAATTAATTAATTAATTAATTAATTTAATCCTAAGCAAAAGTAACTGCTTTACGTGCTTTACAACTTATTGGGGAAAAGAAAAACGAATTTAGAAGGAAAAATATTTTCATATTGTTTAATGATAAAAAAGAACAACGGCTGTAAGGCAAAAGAGAGAGGCAAATTTATTTGTACCATAATATAAGCCACAACATCATGCAAGGTGTCTAAAACTGAGAACAAAATACATAAAATGCTGAAAATGATATAAAACAAAAGCAGTAAAACAAAAGCGAAGACTAAAAGGCAGAGCCAAGGACCTAATGTCGTCAGCCTAATTTAAATCTGGCTGACGACAGATGACTATATAAAAAAAACTGGTTGTCTAATAAAGGTGCAGTAGATACTGAAATATTTTCTGGACGACTCATTTGTTCAATAATTAAACAATTTTTTTCTTCTCTTAGCAGCCCTATTCTTATGACACTGTTTGAATAGTGTTACAGAGGGACCTGAAGACAATCAAATATGAGTCACAATAACAAAGTTTAAAGTGCAAATTTCAAACCAAATAAGAATTTTAAAAGGGTTTTACGGAACATGGTAAAACTGGGTGGGGGATACATTAGTAGAAAAACTGAGTCAAACAATAAGTGGGACTCAAGAAGCTTAGTGAGGAAGCTGAGAACAGAGGAAAGGAGATCAAACAGAACAAATGAACACTAAGGGCCCAATAACTAGAGCACAGACTAAGAACAAACCAAAACATGAGAAGAAAATGACAAAAACACAGAAACAAGGTGGAAGAAAACAGCCTAGAAGCTAGCTATTTATATAGAAGTACCAAAAACGCCAGTAGTGGGTGATGCCACTAGTTATTTTCATTTTTTGACCATTTGGGGAGGAATTTTTTTGACTCCTGACCTTTTTTGTCAGTTTGAATAGGACCTGATAGTTGTAACCTGATCAATTCCATAATCCAGCTAATGGATTTTCATTAGTGTTGCACTCACACTGATACCAGAATCAGGCGGGCCTGATCAGGCACTAAAATGGTGGTATTGGTATCAGCGAGTACCAACAAATAGGGCACCGATACCATTTTGAGAGCCAAAAGTTTATCCAACTATTGTCACCCATTCCAGATAGGCAATAAAAAGTTCTACTGGATTCACTTTGTATTAGTCTTTTTCCTGCTTCACAAAGGTGGGCAGCAGCTAGACAAAGCCATGATGGCAATTAGTTTACATCCAAGTAGTATGCAGTTCTTCATATATACACACACACACATCAATTTCAAACAGATAGTATCGAGCCAAAAAATAGCATTGGTGCAACACTAATTTTCACTACTATCAGAACTGCCATTCATATGAAAAAATAATATAAAAAATATATGATTAAAATAAGTCACACTCCATGGTAAAGTTTTACTATTTTCCCAAAATCTAAATCTTGTATAATGTTGTATTCATGTTGTCCAGCATGTGGTCCTGTTTTCAAGTTAATATCTGTATATTTTTCAAAATAATGGTTCCATTGTCCTCTGCTGTTTGCTCCAAAGCCAAAAACACTGACCTGCAAAAGGACAAAACCATCTTATAATCTTTTTAGTCATGCCTGTTTTCCCTTCTAGGTGTATTGGATAGACTATGAATATAACACAACCACATCTATTATAATAATCACTATATTATCTAAAAGCGGAACATGATTAGAAATTGAGAACTTCAAAAAGAGAAAAAAACAATTCACCTCATCGCAAATGTTCAGTGCAAGAACCAAAGATATAAAGCCAGTAGAAGGATAATCCCCAACTTCTCCGAGCCAGACTTCATGAACATACTTTATAAAAGCTGGACTGACCACCATCACCTGTTACATGGAAAAAAAAAGCTTTGAATTAATTTAACTAGTATCTATGTATAACAAAAAAAATAAATAGCCAAAAACATTCGCAGCATACTTACCAATTCTTTGTTGGCCGTTATTTTGGATTTGATTGGTGAATATGAACTGTTAGAAAAAGTTTCAAGTGTAAACTTTATATTCATATGATGATGTAAAACCTATGTATCAAACTGTACTGATATGGACAATCACGGGAAAAATAACTTGCATGAAGTGAATATTCAGCAACTTAAAGGATTCTATAATTAGCTATAATAGACCTTATTTGATAATTATATATTTTCAATATAAACACTGTTTATTTTCCTTGAAGGAGTAATCCAAAGGGATAAATAAAGTTGAGTCTAAGTCTAAGTCCAATATATTAAAAATATTGTAAGCTGTACAATTTTGTGTTGTTTACACTGCATGCATTACGGTAAATTACGTATGCTAGGTCCCGTAGCACTAGCTCTGTCTTGCCAAAACAGCAGTAATGTTAGGAATCCAGTTTGTGTGGGTTGTGCTTTTGTTTGTCTTCCCTACACCACCAGGCGGCGCCTGGTTCTCGTTGGCCTCCTCACACACCTGCGGATGGTTACCTCATTACCGGAGGACTCTTAAGCTGCTGACTGCCACTACCTCGACGCCAGAGTGTTTGCCAGTTTTGGGTACTCTAGCTAAGCTGAATTTTGCTGAGTCAAACTGATTTTTTGTCAACCTGAGTTTTAACCTTGCTGTTTTTTTGGCTTTGCCTCTCGGCAGGAAGCCATCCTGCAAACTGGATGTTTTGGACCTTCTCCCCCCTGGAAGGATTCTCTGAGCATCAAACTGAGCTGAGCTGAACTTCAAGCTAGTGGTTTGGATCTACTTTTCCCCAAGGATTGTTTGGGAGTCTCTCTGAGCAATCTCCACAAGAAACCGTTCAAGTACCGCAGGAAAACTAAGTGGCAGTCAGCTCCTCCGTTCCTCAAGGAAACACCGCAACCTGGGTAAACCCTGTCCGCCCTCCAACGAGCAAGTCATTCACTGAAACAACCCACACCCACTGGAATCAACAAGAGACACCTTTTTCTGGAAACGTGAGTCCTGTTGCCTTAATTCCCTTCTTCAAATCGAAGACACAAATTTCCCACTGAGCCTGAACTAACCGCAGAATCTTACCCTTCACTTTTCAGTCCCGGTTCGACAGTGCTCAGAGCAGCACTGGACTCCTCTCAACCAACTCTCAATAAAACCTGTTAAACTTTTCCCTGGTCTCTCTGTTTGGTCTTCTGTATGTGGGTCAGATCTTTAGATAAAATCATGACAGTTAATTTATTCAGGTTGAACTAAAGTGTGCTGAAATTGGTGGCAATGTAGAAATCACAAGACGAGGACCAACAGACAAAGAGGGGAGAGTTGGCTGAAAAAGCTGGTGTTTGTGCGGCTCCTGCTAGGAGATGCTAACCCAGGCGAAGAGCTAAAGAGCTCCAGGTTCTAGGCTGTTTACAGTTAGCATCAGGAACACAACAGTTTGTTAGCTTTATCACAAGGATGTGTTTCGACTAAAAGATTAAATAGTCAATCATTATCTTCTGATTAAAATATTGATTTCAGGTTAGCTTTAGCTCAAGGTGTTATGTCTAGCTTAAACAGTAGATCATAAGTGGAACACATTTCTATGACAGTTATTGAAAACTTTGAGGTAACAGCACAGTGTGGCATTTTCTAAATTTACACCAGTAGTATAAGCAGAGATGGGAAGTAAGGAAGTACAAATACTTCGTTACTGTACTCAAGTAGATTTTTCTGATATTTTTACTTTACTTTACTACTTATTTTTATGGCGACTTTTTACTTCTACTCCTTACATTTTTACACAAATATCTGTACTTTCTACTCCTTACATTTAAAAAAATTGGCTCGTTACTTTAGTTTTGAGTCATTTCAATGGAGTTACCGTTATTATTTTTCACGTCATCAATACCAAATTCAATCTAATTGGATGGGAATCTACGTTGCATTTGACGCACCACTACAAGATGAATCGACAGATTCGGCGGTATTCATTGGCGGCAAATCATTGCAGCTTGGTGGCGGTGGCGTTAGCATAGTAGCATGGACGACGAGATGATTGAAAATGAACACAACAGAGATCTAGTCCTATTGGCAGACATCCATTTAAAATGTAGGCAACGGCATGAAAAAAGTGGTTTCTACTTTTACTTTTATACTTTAAGTAAATTTACAAGCCTGTACTTTGTTACTTTTACTTGAGTAAAGAAGTTTAATCAGTACTTCCACTTTTCCCAGAGTATTTTTTAACACAAGTATCTGTACTTTTACTCAAGTACGGAAAGTGAGTACTTTTGCCATCTCTGAGTATAAGTAGGCTAATAACTCTATGGGGACTTCTGTAAAAGAAGAAGAAAAGAGTAAACTGTTTTCAAGAGTTTTAATTTTTTTTTTTTTATAGATATCATGGGTCTGTTTCAAAAAGCAGGTTTACTGAAAACTTTTAAGTTTTCTAAACCTAAAATCAATGAAACTCTGAGTTTGTAATTTCACAAAGAGAGTTTACTCAAGCTCTGTTTCTGTTACCGTAGCAACATTCTCCCCAGAGCTGACCTGGTCAGGAGCAGGTTTTTGTTCAGTAAACTCAGTGTCCTTTGTCTGCCGTCTCTTTAAAGCCAATCAGGTTTTATTTCCTGACGTCAGGAGATTTTGGTCATACTTTTGTGCATAAAATGAAATAAAAAAATCACTAGGTTTATTAGACACATTAGGTTTTAAAAACATGGATTATGGATGTCATTAATCAGCAATAGTACACAGATAATTAAATATTTATAGGGAGAGGATTCTACAACTCAGTTGACAGGCTGTGAGATTTGTGTTTAATATGAGTGACATACAGATAATTTTTCTTAATTATTACAGTGCATTAAGAACCACTAAAATTATTTTCCGATTACACATACATAGATTAATTAGTTCCATGGGGGGGGGGGGGGGGGGGGGGGGGGGGGGGTTATTTCAGGGTTAGGATTAGGATTAATTCTTTGATACCAACCTCCGGAGCCTACTGGGAGGTAGGAGCCATAATCTGAAGCCATTCTATGCAACTGATAACCAATAATAACGGCTGTTTAATGGGATGATGACATCTGAAGCAGCTGCAAACACTTAGTTTTCTCTGTGTGATGGAAGAAAGAATCAAACTGAGAAGGAACCCCATGAGTTGATGCACAGGTCCTACTTGTTGATGTTTTCACCTAAATAGTATACGTTCACCAGCTACCATTCAAGCAATAAACTAGTTTTCCCCATAATGTTCTCATGGTTACAACAGGCAAACTAATTTGATTTGTATTAGTTTATTACTTTGACTACATTTGCCTGTCTGATATCTGATATTTGAACATAATGACCATGTCAAACAAAATGGAACTCTTCACATCTAGAATAAACATTCTGGATCTCTAGAAATGAATTTATGATCTCCATATTCCTAGTGTTGCTGATCATCATTTGCAGTTATATTGACTATGAAGAAATGTATTGCAGATATCCTAAATATATATTCAGTCAAGCTCTTGAATGTCAAAAGAGCCATTTAAAAACATTTCTAGGTATATAAAAATGAATTCTTCCAAGAGCTATTTTGGTTTTTGTTGTTTTTCTTTTTACTTTCTCTAATCAATTTTCTTTTGGCAAAGATTTAATTTAGAACTTCTATTATTACAGTTATGACCAGAAAAGCGATTTTGACAAGGAAGAATCTTATTTCAGTGTTCTACAAATAGAACAAAAGAGGGAAGAGGGCTTTAACTAAATGTAAAAGGCCTGTCAAAAAAAAAAAAAAAATGAATGCCATACAGCAATTCATAAAAACCTATGCATTAACGTCAGCCACAATCTTCTTCCACGTCATCACCCTCTCCTTTGTAGCTGTAGCGCTATTTAAATAAAGGCATTTTTTTTTTGTTTATACAGATTTTGCCCTATTTTGTCAGGCTGATTTCCAACAAAAAAAAAAATTGCAGATACAATTTATTTTAGACTGCTTACAAATTGTGTGCCCATATTCATTCTGTTTTCTATTAAGTGAATCTCTGAATGTCATTTACTGACATTTACCTGTCAATAAATTACAATTTTAAACTTTGAGCACAATCTACTGCTAGCTGAACAGCCAACTTCCATGTTTCCATTCAAATGTCACATGCATTGTAAGCTAACTGTAACAATGTCTAGCAATTTTAAAAACATATTTGCAATAACAAAAAAGATTTACCTTCCAGAAAATCCTGTTGTAAAGGCTTTGATGAGCCACTCAATATCTTGTATCTTAAATGGAACAAGCACAAGATGAGTAGATTTGTCTAAATCAACGGCACTCTCTGGATACATGACATGATGAGATGTTTTGGTCCCCACATCTTTTTCATAGCCTTCGATTGGAGCAAAGTTCATTCTGATTTGGACAGAGAGCTGTATTTATTACGATGTTATTCAGATTGTAAATCAAGTTGGGCAATATTTTACTCAAGATTTACCTGATAATGAGATCTTTGGAATCTATTATTGATCCATAACTTGAACCTTTCAAATTAAAAGAATTTCCCACCAATGCACATGTCACATTGCCACCAGATTTGGCATTTCCGAGATCTGGAACTGGTGGAAAAATCCCAAAAAACATATCCACAGTTTCTTCATAAAAACTGAAGTTACGTTGCTCATTCTGTATGTTCTGAAACATACAAATACACAGTGAATACACAAGACATGACCAGTTGTACCAAATTGCAACAGATGAGACACCCCTTAATGTCAAAACTTGCCTGCCACCATGTGAAAGCATCTATCGACAGCCGGGTCTTGGCTGACAGAAAGGGTTTGACAGAAGTTTTTAGATGGTGACGGAACAACACGTTATCCTCAAAAAAACACCTATCGTATTCGCATGGACTTGGACCATCGAACTGGAGGAAGTTGCTGATACGAGGTTGCAAAAAGACCCCAACGGCAGCCAAAGAGAGCAGGAAAATAAAAAGCTTAAGATAAGACGTCAATCGGAGGATATGATTCTTGTCACTTGGAAAAAGTTTCTGTCTGTGGAGAGTATAACAAAACATGCCAGTAATGTTTATCAAAATTGGATCATTATGATAAAAATCAGATGAATGGAATAAAAAAAAAGACGGCAGCACATATATTTCTTTTAAAATGTTTAAAACTAAAGACATTTAAAAAAAGGAGGCTCCTATGAGTTCAAAATAATTTAAAGTTATTTGCCTTACCTCGTCCGACTGTCCATTATCCTTAGCTTCAGTTACAATCCCCAAATGTGTCAGACGTTGGATTTGTTCATTCCTAAGATAACACAGTTTGTAAAATGATGGCGTATAAGAGTTAAGGAGTGGCTTGTTTTTTCCAGAATGTATCTAGGGTGGGAGCGTGCACAAGCGGAGGCTTGACCTGTTTAATCAAATACGGCAGTTTTGATATTCATGTACCGACAGCGGATTTTAAAAATGATATATGAGATACAAGTTAAAAATGAGATGCTTTTCCATTCACCCATAGCAATAGGAGGTTAGCTGCAAATGATAAAATTATTTTATATGGTTACAATTATCTTTAGGGAGCATGCCAGAGCCGCTGCCATTCGTTATGCCTCCTCCCCTCCCATAAAAAAACAGCAATAAACTAAAAATAAATCATTTATCTGTAGGTTTATGACCTGAAGTTCAGTGAAGCTTTCCCACATATTATAGGTTGATGGTTTGGATAATGAGTAATATTCTCAGAGTCCTTTCTGAGAGCTTTTTTTTTTTTTTGCACATGTGGGAAGACATGCAACAGGCATGATTTGATCCCACAGAGTCCTGGGGAAAAGTCATGCACGCTGTGGCCAAGTTAGAGGATGTATGATCAGTTCTTTATTATACAGAACATAACTTTCCTGTATAATGAACAAAGAATTAAGATCTCAGGTTAAACTTCGGTTTTGGTAGATTTTTGAGTAGATCAGCTTTTCAGTCTTGAAATAGACCTCGCCTGTTGAAATAGACGTTAGTAGGTTAGGATTAAACATCTATACATCTAAGAAAACTGAAGGTGAATCAAAGGTTTTGATGGTTGTAGCTGTAATGAGATCTCCAATATCACAATTGTAAAGATGGTTTCTAGCATGAAGAATGCAACTTCTCAGCTTGAGAGATTCTGCTACTAGAAATCATGTCTTCTGTGAAGACGGAGGTCTAAACAACTGCTTGCCAATATGCTTATTGTGAGATTTTCAGAATTCTACCAGAGAAACGCATAAAACACCACAGAATTTTTTTTTATTTTAAAGACAAAAGTTTAAGAAGTTCAAAGTGGAGTTCAGCAAAGGCACCCAGGTAAAGCCTGGAAGAAGGTAAAGGAGGTTTTGGGCTCTTACCTTTATTAGCGGAGGTCCAGGGTGCTGCTATATGCGACCAGGTGCAAAGTGTATCATGTTAGAAGTGGTGAAGTGGGTCAGAGCTGAAGAACTTTTCTACAACCAGGATTTAAAAACTTGAGGTGGTCTCACTGACATATCACATCATGTCTTTACATCCAGCGGAGAGATAAACTATTTTCCTATTAAATAATGAACTTACTGAGAGATCTGAGCTGTAGCTTCAATGAAGATGAGTCCCAAACTACTACTACAAATATCCTCTCTGACTGCTTTTGGCTCGCTGATAAGGTGCAGCAATTAACCTTTGCTCCATGTTATCAGTGTAGTTGTTGCTCAGATGAGAAACATGGTGGATGGAAGTAGATAGTTGATGTGAAGCTGCTTACGACAGAGGTTAAGAATATTGGAGGTTTTCAGAGTTTTATCATTTAGGCTTCTTGTATTTTACTTCTTTAGCTGTATGTCATCTTTATTTAGTGATTCCCGGCTGCAGAACTTTGCTGTAAAAGAAAAAATATATATATATATATTTTAGTTAGCAAACATTGATCATGTAAACTTCTGTAGAGCACACAGGCTGCATATGGAGCTCAGTAAAGCAGTGAGTGCAGGAATTGAAGAAATCGGCAGATCAGGGGGTTCTTACTTTGCAGCGGTTCAAAGGTCCTGAATCGTTCTGGTAGAGATGACAGGGGAAGGCTGAGGGTGAAGGATTGAACTCTGTGTGTAGGCAGTTCCTGGAGGGTCCTTTGAGAGGCTGACTGAGAACTTTCAGGTGGATCTGATTCATTTTCATGAGGAGAGGAGTCCAAAAAAAACTTTAGAAGGAGGTTAAGATCAGTGGAGGTTAGAGGAGGCTGCTGGGTGGAGGATCTTCATACAAAAAAGGGGGTGGACCTGTTCGTCCATTTCAGTTTGCTTGTTTTCTAAACAAAAACGAGGCTTTGTTGGGCTACTGTATAAAACCTCGAACTCAACACCATTTTTGACATCTGGAATTGAAAAAGCTTCCTGGATAGGAAGATAAATGTCTTCAAACTTGGAAACAAAGTCCAGTGGAGTGTTTAACTTTTTGGAATGATCTTCATACTAATATCAGATGAATTGAAAGTGGAGTTTTGTCATTGGAGATTGACAACATCTCACTATATAAAGCCCAGTGTAACAAAGGCCAGGGGCTAATAGCCAAATGACATCCTGATAGATCTGAGCTGCAGCTTCACCAAGGTTTAAACTCAAAGTTTGAAGCAGCAGTTTTGTTGGTGGAGCTGCTCTAAAACAAAAACACTTGGTGTGAGCTTCAGGAACAGTGGAGCTAAAAACCCATGTCCTGGTGATGAATGTCAGAGCATGGAAGGGAGGGGAAGTTTTTATGGTAATCACAACAAACATGTTATGGTCGTCGGAGCATCTGATTTACATGCAAAGTCTATGAGGGACAGCATCAAGAGGTCCGCGCATTAGGAGGTCCGGGCATCGAGACGTCCAAGCATCAGAGGCGGTGTATCAGTGTATTCTTGTCATGAAACGGGACAGATGGACCCAGTGTTCAAGGAGAGACAGCCAGAAGGAAAGTTCATAACAGCGACTGCAGGTGGGGGGCGGGGCACTCCCTTAATCAGACATTCTGATTAAGGGAGAAACGCAGGTAAGTGACCACGATTATCTGACAGAAGATGATTATCTGAGTTGGTCACTTACCCGGTTTAACAGTCCGGTCCATCTCCCTGGAAAGGGGAGCAATCCAGCCGCTTGACTGGATGACATGGTGCGCATCACCCAGAGTGTCCCCGGGGCTGCAGTCTCAGAGGACCCGAAGGAAGCAGATCCTGGACAGGGTTACAGATCAGGCAGGAACAGACAGGTGACAGGATCCAGGCTTCCAGGGTATCCACAAGCTCCCGGCAGGTTCTGAGTCCGACACAGTCTAGAAACATCACCAGGCGGACACGCACAGGAGCAGATGGGATCAGGCGCAAATGGGCAGGCTCAGTGGTAGAGGGTAAATACTGAACCTCCCCGCATACAGAGCCAAAACTCAGAGGACTCAGCAGGGGAGGAACAGTGGACGATCAGGAGACGAGACAGACACAAACCCTCTTTCCACTGGCTGCCATGATCCATGAACCGTGGAAGAAAACTGAACAAAACACAACACACTGAACAGAGAGACTCACAGGAAAACAAAAAATGATCTGGCCACGAAAGCTTAGGCTGAACAGAATATAAAGCAAAGGAAAAATGTGTGAAGAATAAATTATATTTAAGGCTGGGAGGGAACTGTTCAGGGGCGATCCGGACCAATGCCGAACCTTCGTCATGCAGTGTGAGATCCAGTTCGAGTTACAGCCATCTGCATACCCCTCTGACCGCTCCAGGGTTGCATATGTAATTTCCCTGCTGACCGGTAAGGCAAGATTGTGGGGAACTTCTGAATGGCAAAATGACTCTGACATCTGCCACTCATATGACGATTTATCCCAGGAGATTATCAGAGTTTTCAGCCCCGTGCTACAATGCCGTGAATCCACTAGAGGGCTCCTAACCCTCAGGCAGGGTGATAAGTCTGTTTCTGAATATATAATTGACTTTAATCTCTTAGCAGCTGAGAGCCGCTGGAATGAGCACGCCCTGATGGATGTTTTTATTACTGGTCTAAATTAAAAAATAAAGGATGAACTCGCCACCCGGGATTTCCCACGGACACTAAAGGATTTGGAGGATCTGGCAACCCGGATTGACCTTCGACTTATGAAACGTCGAAGGGAGCGGCGGGCAGCTAACCAGTTTCACCCCAGGTCGTTCTCCTCTGCACCAGCAGAGGCTTCACCCCTCCCAACCGCAGCTGATCCTGAACCCATGCAATTGGGGAGGAGCAAGCTGTCTAGTGAGGAGCGCCATCGCAGGCGTCAATTAAACCTCTGCCTCTACTGTGGAGCAGTGGGTCACTACATTGGCACCTGCCCAGTAAAAGCCAAGGCTCAGTAGGGGGGGAGATCCCTCCTGAGCCGCACTACACTCTCTGTCTCCCCAGACCTCTTGCTACCTGCTACCTTCACTGTTTCAGCCATAGCACATAACCTGTCTGTCCTTATTGATTCTGGGGCAGACACTGAATTCATGGACGAGGGATTCGCCAGAGGACTGAACATTGGACTCCTCCCGGGCTCGTCACCTCACAGTGTTCTCGCCCTGGATGGCCACCGGTTGAACCACTCCCACCTCGTCACGGAGCCGGTGGAACTGCTAGTCGGAGGTAACCATAGAGAGACTTTGACCTTCATAATCATTGACTTCCCACAGGTTCCTGTTGTCGTGGGTGTCACCTGGCTCCGGAGACACAATCCCCTGATTGACTGGAGAAGAGTGGAGGTCATGGGTTGGGCTCCCTCCTGTTCTCAGTTCTGTTTGTGGTCAGCCCAACCTCTTAACTGCAGAGAATGAGGTGGAGGAGGTTTACCCTGACCTTTCTAAGGTTCCCGCAGACTACCATAATCTTAAAGAGGTTTTTAGTCCAGAGCC